CCACTTCTTCGTTTAAATCGATGCCCCTTTCTAAGGTGATGAAGTATTGACTGTGTTCACAGAAGTACGAAAGACTTCGAAGTGAATTGTATGTATCATCAATCATGTTGGTTATATGGTAATGTAGAGCCCAAGCGTCCGTTGCCAAGTCCGAGTAGCCGGACAGTTGGAAATAAAGCGCTAAGTTGGTTACGTCTTCAACAATGGCCTCCCAGTCGATGTACACCTCATTGGTAATGATCGGTTCAGTGTCAGCCTAAAAACACACATGAGTTACATGGTCGTTACTGGGCAAGAGCTAGAGGGGAAAAAATACTTACCTCCTCATAGAATTTTTCAAACCCCTTCACAGCTGTCTGAGCTTGCTTGACCAGTTTTACCTCATTCACTACTGTCACCGTTGCCAATTCCTTACGTTGCAACAATACTTCGAGATTATCTTCCTGAAACTTTGTTTCAACAGACCGCGATTCTTTCTGCAGCTTCAACGAATCGTGGAGTAGCGCTGTGTTTACATGCGCCCAACAGAGCTGTTCCAGACGGGTCAGCCCAGCAGTTTTATGCATTTTATTTTCTAACTCACTTTTGATTTGGCTCAATCGGGCAGCTGCTGCTGCTTGCAAAGTACCAACACCACGTGCAACCAACACCTCATTGTACTGTGTTGGGCTGCACTGCATTAGAGTTATTTGAAGCTGTTCGTTGGACTTGTGATACTTGAGAAACTGTTGCGTCTCTAACCAATGCAATAAATGCTTTTGTGGAGAGTCCAGAAAAACCTTGAAGGGGCTATGACTTTGCAACGATAGCTGCAAAATACATTGGCCAGCTGTAATATGTGGCGAGGCAGTGTGGAAGTGGCCAATGCGTGTTCGCAGTAGCGAAAGGTCGGGCCACGCACCCTCTTGAAGCATTGAGGAAATATGTGCCGCATGCAAATCTGCGATCAAGCTGGCATCGTTCGCTTTAATAGACATTTTATACAGGCGTCTTAGCATCAATGTCCAATCCTTGATTGAGAACTTATGTCTTATGCGGAGCAGAAATTCAGCCAGTGTTAAGCACAATCGTATTTGAGCCGGGGTGCGCATATCCATTGTAAGTTGTACAAAGCGGCAGAAGATCAATTTTAATTCTGCCGATTCAGGAGTTATACAAACGAGAGAGTCGAGCACACTGACTCCGTGACGTATCAAGAGAAGTAGCTGTGTACGAAGGCTAATAAAGAGTTTTTCGCTTTCGGTTGTTGAGTCATCGACTGCCAAGGCGTAAGATGAGTACGCTGCTAGCCCACTGACCACCAAGGAAATTATTGTATGTTTCCTAGCGCTTGTGCAGCAATCAATTCTTAGTAGCTTAGTTTCGGCAATCCGGGGTGCCAACCGTAAACAGCCGAGTATTAATTCATAATGCGATATATAACATTCAATGTTATTCATGTGTTGCCAGAAGAAAGCGAAAGGTGTGGTGGGGTGATGTTGTAGGTGAGACAAGAGTACAGCTATCACGACGGGTACATCTGTAAACCATCGCTCTTGCATTAACATCTCTCCGTAACGATCGAAGAATGTTGTTAGTTTTCCGCTTAAATCTTTATAGACGTCTTTGAATTCTCCAGGGTTGGGCAAGCCATACACTAATTTTACCAGATAATATAGCAATGAAAACACATAGTTGGAGCTTTTGTCATTTGCAAATAGAGACATATCCCGACATGTACGCATGTGTCGTAACGCTAATTGCTGTTGTAACCTATCGGATACATCCAATTGGAAGAAGACTGTGAGCGCTTCTATATGGCGTTGACAATGAGCTTGAAGCTCTTCTTTTGTTGGTTGCGGGGCATGAAGCTCTTTCAGAAGTGAGAAGAAGGAATCGTACATCTGTGTTTTACTGGACGGTAGCGTTGCGAGATAATTGAAAACTGTGGAAACACGCTTCGGTACCAAATATTGTACAAAATCTGATATTAACTCTGGATATGTAAAATTATATTCCTTGTTGCAATTTTGCATTCGTATGAACAACTCCTTTAGTGCATCTAATATCCTCACAATGTGCTCTTGTGCCTGACTGGCGTTTACGCTCATGTGATTATGTTGGCTAAGTAAGTGCTGCAGAAACATGCCTAACAATACTTTATAGTCCCCGTCACTTTGGAGATAATAAGGGAGACTTGCTACGAAACCACATAGCCTTTCGGCTTCGTTAAACAATTTCTAATATTGAAAACTAAAGTTAATTATTATGAAAACAAAATACCTAATCTTTCTCTCACCTTATCTGCAAGAATGTGATGCAAATACCGTACATGCTCCAGATACATTGTCCAGTACTTCGCGCCGACTGATGGTTGTATATTCTTCGCCAGGACGTTCACCAGTGTATCACAATAGACATCATAATGGTTGCCCCCCGGCTTCGTGGCAACAGAGCAAATAGAACGCAATACAGATAAAGCTAGTTGCATTTGACGCCTGTTGGAGTCCTTATTGCCTTTATCTGCAAGCCCCAGCAGCTGCTGTTGGACTTTATGCATAGCGCTTACAGCCGTTTCACGTGAGCCCCTAAATGCTGGTTCATAATCGGCTGACATTATTATTTTCTAACTTACATATGTGCGTCAATAATTATAATTTGTTAATTCTGTGCTAATTGTCGTTCCTGTTCAAATGAAAAAACCAAATTTTTATTGGCGCTTTTTCAGCGCAGCCAACCTTTTGTTCAATTTTGTGAGAGATGCCAAATCTTCAAATGAATGCAAATAAACACCTTCAACTGTCTGGTAACGCTATGTGCCGCAAGGAATTAGAAACGTGTGAAAATAAAGTATATCGATGTTTTTTCGATAAAATGCAACAAAATATGACATTGAAGTTTTCAAACACAAAATGATTATAGGCCAAATACACTACACATTTAAAGCACAACTCCACAATAAGGTTTTCAGGCGTTCGGCGCCTTTCAGGCTTTCAGCAACAGCTGAATCAGATAACGTTTTTACTACTACGTCTACTACTACTATGCTAATGTTAAACCACCATTTTTCATTTCAGTGTATCAGTTTGACTAATGGTTGACTTCGTTTAACTAATGCACATCCATTAGTTAACCAATAGTTAAAAACAGGGTTTTCTAATAGTTAACTAATGACTGGGAAAATGGCCCATAGTAATTTAGCCTCATTTATCAAAAATCCAATTAACGCACATGCATTTATCCGCCGATGTGCATACTGCAAGCATCAACACAAAATGAGGTTGTTTTTGTTTCGAATGCAATGTTCGCAAACCATGCCACAAACGGCGAATACGCTCACAAACATACACCGCAAGGCGAGCAGGCTCGCGCACATGTTCGTCGTGTGTGGCTACTGTTACGGTATATCTGCTTGTACCGCGTAATCAACTGTGCACGCTGCTGAATATTTTTGTACCGCCTTTTACCGCACTTCCAATACCGCGGCTATTTGAGTTCTATAATATACCGTCATTGGGTCGTATGGATAAAACCAAAGCAAATGGTTTTTCTTAAATTTTCAGACCTTCTACTCAACTTATTCAAATAAATTTAAGTGAAAGGTATGAAATTTTAAGAAAAAGCAATTGCATATTCTTTATGCATACGGCCCATTTTGTTGTTGTTGTTGTTGTTGCAGCTGCTACAACAACCCCGCCCAGATCGGTTGGTATCTCAGTCGTTGTCGTCAAGTTCCACTAACGGCAACCCTAGGAAGCGTGCAGCTTCTGCGGGGTTTGCCCATAGGGACAAGGCCGTTAGGGTTGTCGGGTTTTCCGGGCATGCGAAGAGATGTTTCGAGTCATGTGGGGTCTCTCCGCATGCCGGACATTCGTTCGGCACATCCTCATTCAACCTACTCAAGTAGGAGTTTAACCTGCTGCAGTAGCCGGAGCGAAGTTGTGCGAGTGTAGTGCGTGTCTCCCGAGGCAGATGAAGCTCTCAGTCTCGAGTTATGTAGACTCTAGACCTGCGAATGCCGTTCTAGGCACACCACCCCCGGACATAGACGAGACGGAGCTTCATTTGCCTCGGCCCATTTTGTATTTGACACTGCCTATCGTACGGGATTATACTGTACTGTACCGTTCCGCGTCAGTTTGCGCAAGCCTTAAAAAATGTTACATAAAACAAATAGGTTAAAATTACTGAGCGCTTAGTTGGCGAGTACCCATGAACCAATTAGAACAGATCTGACCGGTTGAGAAGCAGCCATTTGTAATAGCAATTGAGCAAAAAGTGTGTGACGTTCGTAATTTTGAAGTTTGCTATTTCTGTTTAGCTTCTTTCTTTATGTGTATTTTGTCGTTGGTTTATTTAGTGATTTTTAAGTGATTTTTTGTGCAAATGTAATTAAAATGAAGTTCGCGGTGATTGGATGCAAAAACACGTACAAAAATAATAAATTGGTTAGCACAAACATGTGCACAACATTGCTTGCAGTTTTTCTTTATGCTTTGTCTTCATATTCTTTGTTTACTTTTCACAGATAATACCATGGCGCCGAAATTACAAACGTCAGCCAGAAAATTACTTTTTTCTTTTGCTTCATCTTGTCAGATCTTGTGTAGTTGCATCATGGCGAGTACCAGGCTGCATGTGAAGGACCCTAATGTTATTAACGTAGACTTGAACGATACATTTTATTGGATGTATCGATTGCAAACAATCGATGTTTTTTCAATTGGATCGATTTTTGTTTTTACTTTGATGTTTTGTTTCAACAAAGTGCAATTTATTGCCAATGTACAATAAACAAATACATTTATACATAAGTACGGATGGCGAACCACAGATAGTACGAAACATTTTGCCACAACGTTAACAAATTGGTTTTTATCGCAGAAACTGGAGTGAATGTTTCCTTTACGTTTTAGACGCATCTATTACATACCATATCTTATCGCATTTCCAGTTATTGAGGCAAGCCAATTTCCATTTTAGTAGCTCGTTTAAAATTACATTTTTGTTTATTTATGCAGGCATTCGATAAGCATTTTGCTTTGCCAACAATTGAGAAATTGGAGAAAGTTTAACGGCTTGGAGAAAAATACGACCGCAACAACGCACACAATAAATTTAACAGCTGCATTTAACTTTGCAGATTTTTGCGGGTGCTGCAACAAGCCCTTGCTTGAGCTATTAACTGGCATTTCCCTTGGCAACAATTACTCGGCTTTAATATACATATAAATAATTCTAGAAATAAGAATTTCGGCCTAGCCGCTGTTTTAAGACCGAGGGCCAACATGCTGGCATATTCCGGGCACGTTATGACGCTAGCCAATAGCATTATTGGCGTGGGAATACTGGCAATGCCGTTTTGTTTTCAAAAGGTGAGTTGAGAAATCTTTTTTTATGAATCATTGATGAAGACGACAAGTCGTGTACTATAAAAACAAAGATTCCTTCAATTTGAAGGTGAAGAAACGTATGCGCTTGTAAACATGTACGTACATATGTTTTGTATTTAAAAACTGGTATTTGCATATTTATATGTACATATACTAACGGGTGATTTTTTTGAGGTTAGGATTTTCATGCATTAGTATTTGACAGATCACGTGGGATTTCAGACATGGTGTCAAAGAGTTTGACCGTCGCCGTTTATTTGTGTATGTATGCGTGTGTGACTGATTTTTTCAACGAGAATTTTCGCTAACAAAGGATGTTTTCTTTGATATTTGCGCTTCCGCCAATTATTTGAAGATAATTTTGCTTTTAAAATATTTTAAAAATTCATAAGCTATTGTGGACAAACACTTTTAAATTTTTTCTTCTAAAATTTATGCAATTGTCGATTAATTAG